TGTAGATCGTCGCATCTTCACTGTGTGCCCGGAGGCAGCCAACTATCCCACTGGAGAAGAGGGGAGGAATGGACGAAACTTATACGGAAAGTTCCCGCTGAGGACACGGACAATATTTTCGCACCGTACTCGAGAGGAGAGCTCGTTGAAGAGAGCTGGACACCAGGCGCCTTTGAGGGTATTATCGGCATTGTCATGGCCGGCTCCGCCTGCTGTGTTTGTTGCAAAGGCATAGCCAACGCGACGGTCTACTCCATTGGAGGTCTGCAAGGGAAGAGCTTTCAAAGCCTTCTGGGATCCAGCCTGTAAGCCGAATAAGTCACTATCTGCGTATTGCAACCCCGATCGAGCTCTCCATAAGACTCAGGATGCTGAACCGGCTGCATATTAGCCCCGACGCCACTCTGCGTGACCTCTTGCTGGTTGAGCTCCACACGGATGTTTTTACCAAACTAAAGGCTGGGCTCGTGGGAGTGATCCAATTGGGATAATTGCCCATGTTTGGGTGGTTGGCGATTGCCTTTACCTCGTACCGCATCTTGACGAAGAAATCCGGATTCCGAAAGCGCCATAAAGTTGTTTGCCGAGCTGATGTCTATCCCAGTCTAGAGACTTGGATTGTCCAGATAGGAATGACCCTAGCTCTCCCTCAAGCAGGGACACCTATTTTCGGTCCTCTCCTCTCGATGGCATCCAGGACTACCTTCACAGGTGACAGCAGACCGCGGAAGGCTCGTGATTTGGGATGTGTCAAGAGTCGTCGCCATGGTTCACCTTTCGGTAAATGCGTCAGTGGCTTGTTCTCCAATTGGATGGAAGGAGGTTGTCATCGTTTAAACATGGAAGCAGCAACAAGCGTAGTCCTATCCACGGTGAATAACTCGCCGGCGGTCAGCCGCGCCCTTCGAGCCAACTTTATGATGCGGGTTAGGACCTGAACACTGCGGGAAAGGCGATTTCGTCGAGTGCCCAGTTTGAGCTCCATTATCTGAATGTCGGGCATGAAAGCAACAAGCTGTACGTTGTTATTGGTGACAGCGAGACCGTGCTCAGCATCCTAACGGGGACATACACAGAGGTCGGGCACCTCATCGAAGTTATAAAGCAGGCTCTGGCCAACGCCGAATGATTTGGTATAGTCTTCAGCTACGCGAGCTCAGAGCCGAGTTCAGGTCAGGGTGCCGGCTGGTAAAACCTTGAAGATGAAAAAGATAACCCATCCCTCATCCTCGGTTTAGCGAGATGCGGCAGGTAAATCGTGGGATGCCGCAGGTGGCTCCTTCGGAATCGTGAAAACCCTTCCTATGCAGTAGACATGAGCGCGGGTCGGCAGTCCTGATCTACCCCGCTGTGGAGTATGAGGACAACTCTGCCGAGTCCTCAAGACCTTCTCGTGCAGAAACTCGACGGCATTAACAATTATGTGTTTGCTAAACCCGACTTGCGGCGTCTACGCCCCTACCAACAAGTTAATGAGGTGTCCTTTTGGTTGAAATTCAACACTAAAGAGTACATTTCAAAGGGTATCCGATCTTTCTGGATCTGAGAACCGTTTATATGGATTAATTCTAATCAGAGATTTAATGTGCCAAAAAGATGATATGAACAACGTATCAAGCTAATGATGGGTCTTGCGAGCTTTGGGTTGCCTGCCATGGTGTTGCTGCAGCAGCTCGCCACGATCTCAGGGTCAAGGTCTGCGAATAAGAGGTTTTCCACATCTGGAGTTCGGCGATATTGCCGATGTGTCTCGCTGTAGGGATGGAGAGAGCAATGTCTCGGGAAGTGTTTGTCGACATGGAAAAAGAACTACCGTGATGCGGTGCGGGACAAAAGGCGGCATTGCTCATTGCGGTGGCTGCCCACTACTGTAGAAGCGCTCCAACACCTCGAGAATGTTTACAGGCGCATCATCGAGAACTGATTAATGCCAAGCAGCACCCTTGTGACTTTTAGACTTCGCTGTGCTTCTTGTTACTATGCTAGCATATAATTATGATAGCATATAATTATGCTGGCATAATTATGGTATAAGGAAGATGGATTACCGCTCTTGAAGCGTTGACATCGAACGCCTCCTGAAGGCTGAGCGAGCCCGAGGACGGTTCGTTGGTCTGTACTATGACAGCCTACCACACATCTCACGATGGGCAATTTGCATCAGCAACACGGACAACATCTACCTCCATGATCCGGTCGAAGGGGCACCACTGGCTAATGTTTGTTGTACTGGAACGCATGTGCTTGTCTTCGATAGCTTTGATGTAGGCCGCTGAAAATATCTGCTCAGCTGCGCAGATATATTTTCAGGAGGCCTTCCCGAGCGGGTCATGGTTACGAATACGTTTGCAGTGCAAAGTCGAGCAACGGCTGTCTGCGGGCGCCATGCTGTCCTGGCTGTTTATAGAAGAGGGTTCTGTAGAGGACTTTAAAAGATTGAAGGGGATGTTCGGCGAAGACACTCTAGCTAATGATCAGAAGGTGTCGATCTAGTGCCTCTGACAACTGGTGGTGGTCCTGACGATTTTGAAGCTAATGAAGCCTACGACACGTAGTGCCAAAGCCGTCGTCCCGACAAGGCATGGTCGCGTTTCACGGACGGAAACGTTGAGGAACGTCTCGCAGAGGTCTACTACAGTCCTGCAGGTACTGGCGCGGCCGTGCTGCTATCCCAAAGCTGGCTAAAGAGGCTGGCGTCAGCGATGATGTGGCTCATGAATGGCTAACAAAACAGGCCATCTGGCAGATCTACCTGCCCGCACCAGCGTAAAGTGCTATCCCCGACCTAAGTTTGACATCAGCACCCCCGAATGAGGTCCACCAGGCCGATCTTTGTATCTGCTCACGATCGAGTCGAAAGACGCACATTCAAATACGTATTGACGGTCGTCGACGTAGCAAGTCGGTATAAGGAGGCCCAGGCAATCACAGACAAGACAGCGACCCAGGTTGGGAAGGCGTTAGACATTTATGCCTCGTGGGCCCTTCGACGAACTCGAAATTCTAAGCATATGCACCTTTCCAAGGCAAACACATTTTGTCATAACTCAACAAATAAAAGTAAAGTAAATTTAACATCACTTCTTTGACACAGACTTTGTTTTAGAGATAGAGTTAAATGTACTATTTTGTGTTCTTTAAAGTTTATGTTAGATATACTTGCTTTTATGGTAAAAATATCTTGATTTGACATGTTTTTGTAAACGTTTTTATAAAATAAATAATGGTTTTCTTTGAATTATTCTTCTATTTAAACAAATTTGTGTGTCTAAATTATTTTGATCCAAATTTCAGTATTGCTATCTTTTTTCCTTGGTAAAAATATAATTTACGATTTATCCAGAAGATGTGACCAGTAGAGTTACTGAAGGCTCAAACTTTGAATTTCGTTGTGAGTAAAGGATCAACAAAAATTAAATGGTTCAGACGACGAAGACTAAATGGTACAGAATTTGAGGATACGTTCCTGAAAATCTTATTACTGTTAGAACAACTCCTCAAAAGTGTTGAAGTGTATCGCATTCCAAGAGTGTCTATAAACGATGCGGTGTTTACAGATGTGGAGTTGATGGAAAAAATAACAGGATAATTTCATCCAAAATACGCATTTTAGAAGTCATAGGTAGGCTCATTTTGTATCAAGAAAATCATGCAAATTTACAATGCCAAAAATTGAGTCTTTAATGTTCATTGGATGATTAAATTACGTTGGAATTTTGTATTTATTGTAAGATATGATTGCATAATCATGAAGTTATACAACCAGCTCTCCTTTGTATTGAGCATAATTATAGTTATTTGCGCTTCGATTAGTTTATCTGACAGCAAAATTATCGCCCATCATGACTATGTTTAGGACGAGAATTATCTTGCCAAGAGGCACTTGGACAAAATGACAAAGCTAAAAGCAATTGGAACACATAATTGTGTTAAATTATGGCATATGTTGTTAAAGCTAATAATAAAGTTTTGCAAAAGGTCAAAGCGTACGGAAACGCTAGGCATCCAAATCTCGGATAATTTTACGTTTCTCCTTTTGTAACTTTACTTCAGTGTTGCCATACTTTATTCCTTCAGTGTTGCCATATGAAATTTTAAAATATTCAGGTTCGCTTACGTCAAAATTCACAAAATGGCAAAGTTCATATTACATTTACATTTAATTTTTAATATCGGAAGTTAACGGGAAACCTTGGAATAACTCGGGATCTCACAATACTACGAACTTTGTCCACGATCTGGCAAACTGTATTCTTTCATCAATTATTCAAGTTGCATTAGTACTCAATTTATGCATAGTGAAAAATTCAAAATATTCTGCAATGTGAAAGTTAAACGTTTGTTTGCGCAAAGCCGAATTTTATAAAAGTTTGTAAGTTAGAACAACATCTCATTTTTGAATAGCAATGACTATTTATCTGTGCCATTGTGCGCAAGCAATTCTAAATTGCTTCTCGTAAACAAAATTTTCACACCAAATATGATTATTATATTTTTGATATTTTTACTGTCAGATGAACCAGATGAAGTCCAACTACCTATTTCCATCAAACGTTTTTTCAAGTCAACGTGCGTTAATATCTACTTATTTAAAAGATTTTAAAGTTTATGTTAAATTGTTGTCTTGCGTATTATTTTCATGTAGAATGTTGATGCTTGATCCTTAAATAACTAAAATTTGTTTGTTTTATTTAGAAAGAAGAGCTGCCAAATTTAAATCTGTGAAGAATTTTTTCATTTTAATGAAACTAAGAAAGCTGAGATAACGCTTTTGTTGAGGAATTTCCATTTCCAAATATCACTTGTTATAAGGATGGCAAAGAAATTATATGTTGTATTGGAAAGAAAATGAAAGTTTTCGAAATTTTAACTTTCGACCTGCGAACAGGATCAGTATGGATTAAACGGTGTCCCTCAGTTGGTTATTGAATCAATCTCTTTGTGAAAGATGATGGAAACTACACATGCTGCCACTACTAACAATCCACCTGGGAGGACGTTGTTTCATTTTACGTCAATGTTGGAGGTATACCTAGATTTTTCATTTATGTACTCAACAATGGCCCAAACATTTTGTTGCTTGGTTGCTTGGCAACGGCTAAGGCTTTTTCGTAAAATTACATGATTTGGAGCTCCCAAATGTACGAACTTTAACTTTCTTAAATTTGAAACAAATGATGTTAACAAGTTGCAACTTTCTTGACCCAAAATATTTTATTTAATTTCGGGAATAAAGCATTTTTATTGCAAAGTTGCTAGTAGATTTGCTTTTTAAATTTCTCACTTTGATCGTAAGGGAGTTTGATGTTGAAATTGTACTTTACATTTGTTCGTACAACTCGCCATTGTTAATGACACTGTGTCATCCAGACTGAAATTATTCATTTGATATTCTGATGGTTTTACAGTGCCACCACCCATCAGCACAGGAAATAGTAAATATTTCACAGCACGACACAACACTGAAGGCAAGATTAAATGCATGATAAGATGGTCTAATCCAAGACCCAATATAACTTGGTATCAACAAATCGTTATCAACAGTAGTGAACCTGTTTCGAATAACTGGACCCTTTCACTGTATAAGTCGTCGTTTAAAAAAGGAAAAAACAAAGGACAATATAAAAGTATTTTGAAGATACCGTGGTCTGAGGATGAAGGCTCAATGTTGTTCAGATGTGTTGCTCAAAACATTCATGGAAATGACAGTAGAATGTTTATGTTTATCCGATATGGTAAGATTTTTTTTTTATTTGTATGGTAAATATTGTTTATTAATATTAAATTGATTGTGAAATGTTTCGTTTTTTTTTGCTGTAGGAGATAACTTTGATCTTTTTAAAGTTTTTCCTTCTGGGGAAGTAATTTTAAATGAAAACGAGGACTTTATGGCAATTTGCAGAGTAGATGTTTTGATTCGTGATAATATTGCGTTTTACAAAGAAAATCCTCGTCGTGAAGTGATAAATAATGAAAGAACAGACGTCACCATAAGTAGAAATCCTCAATATCGTAACGTTACAATGAAAATAAGAAATATCAACATCAATGATTCTGGAACTTACAGATGTAGTGAAAAAAATGCTCTCAGTAATGAATATGTTGCTGTAACGTTGAATGTACGAGGTTAGTTGCTTTGAAATTTTTTATCATCAAAAGCATAAAGAAAAGTTTGTAAAAAATTTCCCACATTCTTGCTGTGTAACACAAGGAACAAACTTTTATCTTTCACAAACTATCTAAACTATTTTCAAACATTGAGTTGAAATTGAAGTTTTAAAACTTGCATTTTATTTGTAAACTATTTAGCTAATTATATGAAATTTTGTAAAGTCTTTTTTTCTGGTTATTTTATTGTATAGAATTTCATCCTCCTATCATTTATGGCATGAAAGATTCCACAATGGATCTGTTTAAAGATGACAACATCGAGTTGATTTGTAATGTGTCAGGTAATCCTCAGCCCAAGGTTATATGGTCAAGAAACGGTGAAGAAATTAATGGTGAAACAATAACAAATTGCAACAGTCAAGTTCCTAACTATTACTTCAAGAATGATGGAACAACTCTTATTATTTGTGGCGTTGATATTTCACAATCGGGAAATTACACATGCTTTGCAGAAAATCAGTTAGGAAACGTCACAGCAACTGTTTATCTTAATGTTACTGGTAATTAGACTTTGCATTTATTGAAGATAAAATTTTATAGTTGATTAAGGTTCACGTGAAAATGTTGTAAGAATTGTTCTGGAATTTCTGTTTTGTTAAACTATATATCATTCAACTTTTAACTTTTATCGGTGGCAAACATTATTATTTATTACAGCTTTATAAATTTGTATGTGCTCACTTACTAGAAAAACAATAACTTTCTAAAGAAATAAATAATGATAGTGATCTAAAATGTAGCCACATTACATGGACTACAACTTTCTGCCAAAAAAAAGAACTTTTTTCGTTGTGCAGCAAGTGGTAATCTTATAACTTGGGTACAATGGATTTTTATTGACAGTTTAGAAAAAAGAAGGGGTTAGTTATTATTCTTATAAGGCATGGAGCCCTTTTTCGTTCTAAAGACTGTAAAGAAATATGAATTTGTTGTTGTCACTTGAACATCGACCTCAAGGTTAGCACACGTTTTCATTTCGCTTATAAAAAGTATTGAAAATCATCGTTTTTTAAGAGCTTTATATATTGTCGCGAAAAAAAATTGGACGAAATAAATTTTATAGTTTCGGTAATTTCAACCCAGATATGCCGAAAAGGCGAAAGTTATAACAGAAATTAATCTTTGTATAAATGAAATTCCCAGCGTGATCAACTTTCAAATAAGAGAAAAAATTTAATACTAGTATGTCCATTTGAACGACAAACAAATTTTGAAATCTTCAAAACACTAAAGCAATCAATACTGCCTGTATACGTACTTGCATTTTATAATTTCTTTTGATACTGTCGTGGTAATTGAAAATGTTACCTCCAGCTTGTTTAAAGTTGATTATAAATTTGAGATCAGTTGCACCACAACTTTTCATTCACGATTGTCTTTGCATGTGACCAGTGAGTGACCATGAATTTATGAATGGCTAATTGACTAGTTTTATGGTCCTAACTTCTATTTCCTTCTCCTCAGAAATTCTCATTTACGAACGATAAACATTTATTTTAAATGATTTTTCATGGAGAAGTTCAGTATGATAAGAGGCGTAGGAGGCAAAGTTGGGGAGACGCTTTTCTTGCAAAAGTGGGCACTGAGTTGTAAAAAGAGCACTTTTTATGTTAAATTTTAAAGTTGGGGGTAGAACGCTCCACCTGTGCCCTCCCCTTCTTATGCGACTGAATATAAGTAGGATCGAGCTTATATGCTTCTGCAAAATAACGATGTTTGCGGAATGTAATGACCTCGAAAAATTATTAAATTAGACAAGAAAACTTTATGTTTTATGCTATGACCTGATATAATAATTGACAAAGTTTATGATTCTATCGTCTTTTCTTGTCTTTACTACATAAATTAAAACTAACAATGTAATGTCCAGATACGTGGATGTTTTTGTATTTTAATTTAAGTGTAAGGTGTGAATGGTTAGAAAGAACTATTTTACAGATTCAAGATTTATAAAATCAGTCAAAACTCATGTCTCGCTTTTTTTAACTTTGATTAAAGTTCACAGCACACTTCCCCCAACTTTTCTAAATAGATCGTGAAGGTCATTGCCATTAGCAACCTATTCCTTGAAGGGATGATGCGACGTAAGTGTCAGAGAGTGAACTCATGAAGATTGTCAGGAATCAAAATTTCTTGTATATGAATATAACCATTCGAAAAAATCCTGATAGATGTTTAGAGAGTAATAAAAGATATGCTACCTAAAAATATTTGTTCTTTGCCGTGTTGGACATACTTGCATCTTACAAAAGTTGTTGACAAAGCGAAAATTCAAGTGCAAATTTATACGAACCTAGACCGGATGCAAAACCACTGAATGCAAACCATTCAGACCGGATGTAACATATGTAGTATTTTTATATTTCTCAAGCGAAGTATAAAAAGGCTTTAAGCTGACTAGTTAATTTTCTTCATGCTGTCCCTTATTAAAAGACACGGCGGGACTTTATAAAAAAATCAATAACAAACATCAATTTTTGATATTTTCCCACTATATAATAGATGATACTGTATGCATAAACGAGCATGATCTACAGCAAAAATTCAATGATGAAGATGATTCATCATCAAAAATCTTTACTCCCAAATTTTATATCGATTTCCAAGAACAATTTCCTAATCCACTTTTGTGTGCAAAACCAATAAATTCTAAAAAAGAGGCTACGCTCGTAAGAGAGATACAAGGAGATGTATGGATTGACGTATATAATTCTGCGTTTGCGGTTTGTATTTAAAGTTTTCATCCATCAACAAGTGTGGACCGTAAGTTCTTACGGTAGCAATTACCATAGATCAGTATTTCAATGTTATGATGCCACTGAGATAAATAATTAAAATTTTCATTTAGTATATTATATTTCTTGATTATATCACTATCTTTGAAGATTAAAACGATTATGTTGTCAGGATTAAAATATCTTCAAAATTTTATGAGCTTTGTTCAGATGAACAAGAACTCAAGAAGATCAGGCTAGGAAGGGCCAAAACTTGAACGTTAATTTGGGAGGTGAATATTTATATGTATTGGGGAATATGAAATTCGGGCTGTGCTGAATATATGAATATTCACCCCAATTAACGTTCTAGTTTCACTCTGGGCTAGGGTACTGCATTGAGAAACAGCTGTAAATATTAATATCCCGTCTGCTTGGAAGTGCCTAGCATCACAACATGCATAATATGTGTATTTATGAATGCCAGAGCTGTCTTATGCCATGATATTTTGTTACGTCTTGTTAATTCATCATTATATGCAGTCCACCTGTCATCATATGCAGCTCATTCCTCCTTATATGAAAGTATTTTTGTTATATGCGTTCCATTTGTCATTATATGTAATGCACTTTTCATTATACCTTAACTTATTTTCTGGTTATTTCGTTATGGTTATTTCGTTATGTAGTAATTTCGTTATGTGGTAATTTGTTATGTGGTAATTTCGTTATGTGGTAATTTCGTTATGTTATTTCTATGTGGTAATTTCGTTATGTGGTTATTTCGTTATGTGGTAATTGTTATGTGGTAATTCTGTTATGTGGTAATTTCGTTATGTGGTAATTGTTATGTGGTAATTTCGTTATGTGGTAATTTCGTTATGTGGTAATTTCGTTATGTGGTAATTTCGTTATGTGGTTATTTCGTTATGTGGTAACTTCTGTTATGTGGTTATTTCTGTTATGTGGTAATTTCGTTATGTGGTAATTTCGTTATGTGGTATTTGTTATGTGGTAATTCCGGTATGTGGTAATTTCGTTATGTGGTAATTCTGTTATGTGGTTATTTCGTTATGTGGTTATTTCGTTATGTGGTACGTCATGTGGTAATTTCGTTATGTATATCTCATCATGTGGTCACTTTTTTTCTTCGTTATGTGATATTTAACATGAAGTACCATATTAAATGAAGATATGGTCTTAGCACTTTGCTGGACAATTTAAGCAATCATCTCAGGAACCTGAAAAATTCAGGTGACTAACGGGATTCGAAACCCATGGCCTCATTAAACATTCATACGAAGTACCTTCGATTAACTGAAACACAGGCTCAAATTAACATTTGTAATTTGTATTAAACGATTTGTTCAACACGTTGAATAGTCAAATAGTCAATAGTATAATAGTATTTGCGTTAATAGCCCTGCTCTAACCAATTAGAGTTGAGAATTTTTTCATGTATATTATAAATAATGAAATACATGATATATCCTTTGTATAATACGCAATACGGAATAGGAATAAAAATAGCGCCAATCGGTGACATGCAAAGAGTTTTGGAAAGCTTGGATTTAGCTCTCATACTCAACTTGATAGAAGAACGCGTTACTCCAGATATTGTTTGCAGACTTTCATTGCACGATTTAGGCAACTCGTCTTATCTAATCCTAGTGAAATAATGTCTTTGAGAATCGAGTGCACGAAGTATGGAATGCACAGCCATAAAAAAAGAAGTCCAAATGAGACTACCCATGCCATATTTTGAAATAATGAGAGAGCTATTGGAGAGTTTTTAGAAGAAGATTTCTTGATAAGAGAAATTGCAACAATGTTATCTGTGTCTGAAAGCACAATATATCGTCGAAAGAGAGTTTACGGTCTTAGCAACAGCAAACAGCACGAAGACGAATACGCTCTCTATTGTAGTTATGCCAAGTCGGATTAACTCTGCATCGGTCATTGCTAAACTACGTCGGGCTCATAACTTTCTCCATTAAATCTCTCAAACAAACTCAAGAGACCTGCCTTTCTAATATTTTATCCATTATATCTGGCAAAATGACGCACGACGCAAATAATATTGCTTATTGATATTTGACTATTCAACGTGTTGAACAAATCGTTTGTTACAAATTACAAATGGTTTAATTTGAGCCTGTGTTTCAGTTAATCGAAGGAACTTCATGTTAGATATCACATAACGAAGAAATAAATATGACCAAATAATGAACCATAAAGAAATTACCACAACGAAATTACCGCATAACGAAAATTACCACATAACGAAATTACCACATAACGAAATAACCACAAAACGAAATAACCACATAACGAAATTACCACATAACGAAATTACCACATAACGAAATAACCACATAACGAAATTACCACACAAATGAAATAACCACAAAACGAAATAACCATTATAACGAAATTACCACATAACGAAATAACCACATAATAAGTTAAGGTATATGAAAGTGCATTACATATAATGACAAATGGACCGCATATAACAAAAATATCAATGTATATAATGAGGAATGGACCGCATATAATGACAGATGGACTGCATATAACGAATGTATCAATGCATATAATGACGAATGGACCGAAAATAATGATGAATTAACAAGACGTAACAAAATATCATGGCATAAGACAGCTCTGGCACCATATGTATTGACCACATCCGGATCGGATGCAACTGCACAGTATCCACCTATTTGTTTATGCAAAACACGCATGATCAATTTTGACATTTGATTCAGCAACTATTATTATATTATGCTATCATTACTTAACAATTTCAGTTTCAACTTTGTGTTGTATGTTTGGTATTTTTGAGACAGGTTATGAACTCGATTTTGGCCTTTTTAACTTTCATTGACCTTTGAAAAACAAATTGGCTATTTAAATTTAGTCTCTTGTCACTTCTAATGTTTGGCAATTTTCCAATGCTTTGCATGTGTACTTGAAAAACCTTTTGTTTCAAAAGTCACGGTCGAAAGCGGTTTACTTGAGAAAATTCACTAACACTAGAAGACTGACTGCGTTAGGTTGTAAAGGTTATTTTCATATCATATTGAATTTGGGGTGTTTGTCAATCATGGTGTTTGTTTGCTCGAAACCAAGAAGTTATGGAGTAGTTTTCTTCCTCATGTCCATATTCGTCAGAGTGTTCTCGCAATCTCCACCAAACGGTAAGTTTTCTTCATTCATACACATTTTAGATTTTACACATTTATATAATACATTAAAAGTCGAATTTGCGTAAGGTGCTGAAAGTTTCCTTGCTATAAATAACACTTTTAAGAATAACTAGTGATGAGGGAATGATTTTGCTCTTGATTTCAATGAACTGTATACATGCATGTAATTGGAAGGCTACCCAGCCTACGCGTATCAATCTTACACATGGGCTTAGCTTTAAATTTTCAGTGCAATAGCAGTAATGATGTAAATGTGAAAGCTTAATTGAAAATATTCTGAAATGCCTTACATATGAACATGCGATTGACTTATCTAATTAATGTTTACCAATTTTCTTTCATTTCTTTGTTAGACAAAATGAAATATTTTAACTTCAGCTAGTGATTTCATTCGTATTGTTAAGGTATTTGCATACTGGTAAATGAATTGGGCTTATGCATAAAATAACATTCCAATTTACCTTCTGCATAATAAACAACAATGATGGCTAAATGTTGAAAAGGTCTATAAATATGATCGATTATTTAATATTTTTTTCATATAATTCTTCCTGGTTATGTGACTAGTGTAATTTTTTTCAAAAAACAATTCAAAGAATACAAAAAAACCTTTTTTGTAAAAAACTAACGCACCAATAATCAGTGATAAATGTACAAGGCACTTGGCAAATCATTACAAATTAATGGCTTGTAGCTACTTAGCAATTGCATCTGCAGAGTTTTGCCAAGGGAATTGCTCACAAACAGCAATTTATATTACGACGAATATAAATAAAACAGAGTGGAACACGTCGTTTTTGTGCGTAGTCACACATATGTTAAGTTATGAGTATAGTAATTATTTGGTGGTTTCCGCTCTGTGTATGTTGAACACTGCAGATATTTATGAAATAAACGTGCAGAATAATGATTAATGCCATTTAAAATGCTGAGGATGACAGTGTTGTTTTTCAATTGTTGAATTAACAATTTTTGTGTTGAAATTATTTCATCACGATAAAGGAGATGTTTATGTATTTTTATTTAATAAATACAAATATCGTTGTGTTTGCATGTATATTCTGCTCTGGATTTTACTGACAATAGTCAAGACGTTTTTTATAAAGTTTTTCATTTGCGTCGATTGTGCATGTTTTATGTAGGTTAAATATCATTTGAACAGTGTCCCAAGCCAGGTTACACACCTATTTTTGAGAAGCAAGGCCAGTCTGGAATGGGCCAAACAGAGCCTTCAGCCTTGACTGGTTTTGTGGTAACACTGCAATCACATCCATCAAAATTACCTCTGTTACTAGACAGTGAACTGTATTTTATTATATACTGTACAAAATCAGAGGTTTGATTGTAGGTTTAAAATAAAATTGTTCCTGTTTGTGATATGCTAATATCTTGCTAAGAATGACTTTGAAAATTACCAGTTATGGCACAGCTATGTTGAAAAAGCTCCATTGTATGAAGATGCTGAACCCTGTAATTTATATAGTTGAACTTGACTATCCTTCTCACCATTATCACGTCGCTCACGTAATGAACTGTGATGAGTTCACTTACAGTTTTACTGCGCTCACTTGAATACATAAGTATTCAGGTTAGGTGAAAGAAAAACAAAATTATCTGACAGTCCGAACAAGCAACCAAAAGTCTGAACCGAAGCAATCGGATCGAAGAAAAGAAATCGTGTGAACGGGCGTAAACTTATTTTACATTGGGCTGTCACACTCATCTTGAAAATTTTCTTTCAACCTGGCAAGGCTCTAACATAAATAACCTCTAACATAAATAATCTAAGATCTCAATCTGCTTTTAAGACTGCGTGTATAAAATATCGGAATTTGGAAAGGTTTTCACTTATTAAATGGTGAACATTTTCTTAATTTTTTTTCTGATTTGAGTTTTAATGGTTGTTATCTAATGATTTTATGTTTTTGAAGTTTTTTCTAAGGAAACTGGAACTCAACAAATCTTTAAGTGTGATGTGCTTGACTGGCAACAGCACTGTGAAATTTACTCGTAACAAAGGAAATAATTCCTAGCGACAGAATCAAAGTCAACGGAACATTTCTCATCATGTCTGATTTAAAAGTGTTGGATGGTGGGCAATATTCATGTATTTTGATGGTAAAATGACAATTAATTTGGGTTATCTTATCGTCCGACCAGGTATTTGTATTATTTGAAATGACTATACCTTTTTAGTAGTTCTGTCACATTTACTATAGTGTAGATATAAATTGAATTGCTCGAAAATTCTAAACATATGCTTCTCCAAGGCAAACATTACATTTTGTCTTAATTCCTCAAATAAAAGTAAAGTAAATTTAACATCACTTCTTTGACACAGACTTTGTTTGCTTTATAAAGATAGAGTAAATGTACTATTTTGTGTTCTTTTAAAGTTTATGATAGATATATCTGCTTTATGGTAGAATATCTTGATTTGGCATGTTTTGTCCAATGTTTGTGTAAAATAATTGTATTTTCTTTGAATTATTCTACTATTTAATCAAATTTGGTGTGTCTAAATTATTTTTTGATTCCAATTTCAGCAATTGTTATCTTTTCCTTTTGCAGTAAAAAAGTATAAATTTACGATTTATCCAGAAGATGTGACCAGTAAAGTTACTGAAGGTTCAAACTTTGAATTTCGTTGTGAGTATGAAAAAGGATCAACAAAAATTAAATGGTACAGACGACGAAGACTAAATGGTACAGAAGTTGAGGATTATGTTCCTGAAAATCTTATTACTGTTAGAACAACTCCTCAAAAAAGTGTTGAAGTGTATCACATTCCAAGAGTGTCTATAAACGATACAGGTGTTTACAGATGTGAAGTTGATGGAAAAAATAACAGGAAAATTTTATCCAAACTACGCATTCTAGAAGTCATAGTAGGTTCAATTTTGTATCAAGAAAATTCATGCAAATTCTATAATGCCAAAAATTGAGTCCTAATGTTCATTGGATGATTAGAATTACGTTGGATTTATGTATACTAGTAAGATAATGATTGCATTAATCATGAAGTTATAACATTAAATAGAATTGCAGTTTTTCCTTTTGATAAATATAAGCTCTACTTTGTATTGAGCACTATAGTTTTATTGTTAATCTGAACAAAATTTTACCATCATGAATGTTTAGACGAGAATTACAAGAGGCACTTTTGAAATATTTTGCGCGCGAAAATGACAAAGCAAAGCAATTGGAACACATATTGTAAATTATGGCATATGTTGTTAAAGCTAATAATAAAGTTTGCAAAATGTGTCAAAGGTACGCAAATGCTTGGCATCAATCATCAGAGATGGGCGATTACCGATTACTTGGTATCGATGCCGCCCGATACCGAGCTAATGAAGTAGTCGATACTGCGTTGTTTCGAAAAAGGACTTCGATTACTTTTAAAATTTCAATTATGTAAGTTTGTCTTCTTTTCATTAGATTGACAAACATGTTGTTGTTTTCTGTTTTATTATTTTAATATTTTATTCACTTTTACTAATCAATACATTGAGATCTGCTTCAAAATAATAACATGTAACCAATTTTCAATTCGAATTTATACAGCTTTGAAAATTATCGTTACTAATAATGTTATGACAGTTTGTAATTTAAGACAAAAAAATAAAATTTCGTCGTATTGTTGAAGTATATAAGGCCACACTTTGCAATTCCATTATCAGATCTTTATCAAGTGACTCAGACGTTTATTTTCGAAATTGGAGAAAGGAATCGCTTTAGTAATCGATACCGATACCTCGAAAAGTAATCGGTATCGTATTGAATCGATACGATGTAGCCCATCACTACCAATCATCAAATTACCTTATTCCTTCAGTGTTGCCATATGAAATTTTATTCCTTCTTAGTGTTTACAAAATAGTTCATATTACATTTCCTAATTTTAATATCGGAAGTTGACGAAACCTTGGAATAACTTATTTTCCATAGTACAAACTTTGTTGAACCTTCAACTGTATTTCTCATCAATTATTCAGTTTGCATTTGTAATTAATTTATGCATAGTGAAAAATTGAAATATTCTGCAATTGCTAAACGTTTGCTTGCGCACCTGCCAAATTTTATAAAAGTTTGTAAGTTAGAACAACATCTCATTTTTGAATAGCAATGACTATTTATCTGTGCCATTTTCGAGCAAGCAATTTCTAAATTGCTTCTCGTAAACAAAATTTTCACACCAAATATGATTATTATATTTTGATATTTTTACTGTCAGATGAACCAGATGAAGTCCAACTACCTATTTCCATCAAATTTTTCAAGTCAATGGGTTAATATCTACTTATTTAAAGATTTTAAAGTTTATATTAAATTGTTGTCTTGCGTGTTATTGTAATGTAGAATGTGGATGCTTGGATCTTTAACAAACTAAAATGTGTTTGTTTTATTTAGAAAGAAGAGCTGCCAAATTTACGTCTGTGAAGAATTTTTTTCATTTTATTGAAGCTGATAAAGCTGAGATAACGCTTTATGTTGAGGAATTTCCATTTCCAAATATCACTTGCTATAAAGATAACAAAGAAATTATATTTTGTATTGGAAAGAAAATGAAAGGATCTCCAAGTTTTAACTTATTGGCCTGCGAACAGGATCAATATGGATTAAACGGTGTCCCTCAGTTGATTATTCAATCAATCTCTTTTGTGAGAGATGATGGAAACTACACATGTGTTGCCACTACCAACAATCCCCCTGGGAAGGATGTTGTTTCATTTTACGTCAATGTTGAAGGTATACCTAGATTTTTTCATTTATGTACTCAACAATGGCCCAAGCATTTTTGTTACTTGGTTGCTTGGCAATGGCAAAGCATTTTTATAAAATTACATGATTTGTAATTCCAAAGTGTACGAACTTTAACTTTCTTAAATTTGAAACAAATGCTGCGAGTTAAACAACTTTCTCAGCTCCAAAATATTTTATTTAATTTTGGGAATAAGGCATTTTTATTGCAAAGTTGCTAATAGATTTGCTTTTTTAAATTTATTTCTTTGATCGTAAGAGAGTTTGATGTTGAAATAGTACTATACATTTGTTCGTACAACTCGTCATTGTTAATGACACTGTGTCATCCAGACTGAAATGATTCATTTGATATTCTTATGGTTTTACAGTGCCACCATCCATCAGCACAGGAAATAGTGAATATTTCACAGCACGACACAACACTGAAGGCGAGATTAAATGCATGATAAGATGGTCTAATCCAAGACCAAATATAACTTGGTATCTACAGATTGTTATCAACAGTAGCGAACCTGTCTCGAATAACTGGACCCTTTCACTGTATAAGTCTTCGTTTAAAAAAGGAAAACAAAGGACAATATGAGTGTTTTTAAAGATACCAGCGACTGCTAAACAAGCTTCAATGTTGTTCAGATGTTTTGCTCAAAACATTCATGGAAATGACAGTAGAATGTTTAGGTTTATGCGATATGGTAAGATTTTCTTCTTGTTTACATGGTAAATATTGTTTATTATATTACATTGATTGATGGTGAAATGTTTCGTTTTTTTGCTGTAGGAGATAACTTTGATCCGTTTAAAGTTTTTCCTTCTGGGAAGTAATTTTAAATGAAAACGAGGACTTTATGGCAATTTGCAGAGTAGATGTTTTTATTCGTGTAATATTGCGTTTTACAAAGAAAATCCTCGTCGTGAAGTGATAAATAATGAAAGAACAAACATCACCATAAGTAGAAATCCTCAATATCGTAATGTTACAATGAAAATACGAAATATCAACATCAATGATTCTGGAACTTACAGATGTAGTGAAAAATGCTCACTAATGAACGTACTGTTGTAACATTGAATGTACGAGGTTGGTTGCGTTGAAATTTTTTATTACCCAAAACATAAAGAAAAGTTTGTAAAAAATTTCCAAATTCTTATGTAACACAAGGAGCAAACTTTTTATCTTTTCACAAACTATCTAAAGTATTTTTTCAAACATTGAGTTGAAATTGAAGTTTTAAAACTTGCATTTTATTTGTAAAACTATTTAGCTAATTATATGAAATTTTGTAAAGTTTTTTTTTCTGGTTATTTTATTGTATAGAATTTCATCCTCCAATAATTTATGGCATGAAAGATTCCACAATGAATCAGTTTAAAGATGACAACATCGAGCTGATTTGTAATGTGTCAGGTAATCCTCAGCCCAAGGTTATATGGTCAAGAAATGGTGAAGAAATTAATGGTGAAACAAAAAATTGCAACAGTCAAGTTCCTAAATATTACTTCAAGAATGATGGAACAACTCTTATTATTTGTGGCGTTGATATTTCACAATCGGGAAATTACACGTGCTTTGCAGAAAATCAGTTAGGAAACGTCACAGCAACTGTTTTTCTTAATGTTACTGGTAAGTAGACTTTGCAAAGATAGATTTATTGAAGATAAAATTTTATAGTTTAATTAAGGTTCACATGGGAGTGTTCTAAGAATTGTTCTGCAATATTTGTTTTGCTAAACTATATATCATTCAACTTTCAACTTTCATTGGTGGTATACCCGACTATTTATTCCTGCTATGTAAATTTGTATGTGCTCACTTACTAGAAAAACAATAACTTTCTAAAGAAATAAATAATGATAGTGATCTGAAATGTAGCCACATTACATGGACTACAACTTTCTGCCGAAAAAAAGAAAATTTTTCATTGTGTAGCAAGTGGTAATCTTATACCTTGGGTACAATGGATTTTTATTGACAGTTTAGAAAAAAGAAGGGGGTAATTATTATTCTTATAAGGCACGGAACCCTTTTCGTTCTAAAGACTGTAAAGAAATATGAATTTGTTGTTGTCACTTGAACATCGACCTCAAGGTTAGCACGCGTTTTCATTTCGCTTATAAAATGTATTGAAAATCATCGTTTTTTAAAAGCTTTATATATATTGTCGCGAAAAAAAATGGACGAAATGAAATTCATAGTTTCGGTAATTTCAACCCAGATATGCCGAAAAGGCGAAAGTTATAACAGAAATTAATCTTTATATAAATGAAATTCCCAGCGTCATCAACTTTCAAATAAGAGAAACGAAATTTAATACTAGTATGTCCAATGTTAAACCTTTTTCTAAATGATTTTGTCTTTGTTCTTAATTTTCAGATCATCGCCAACCAGATTCACCAGAAGTGGTGACTTATCAACAGGAAGCATTGTAGGATTAGTTATTGGTGCGATCGTTCTTCTGTTCATTGTTGGTGCTGTCATCTTCTTCTTAAACGGAAAACAAAAACGAAAGCAACACAAGAATCAATATATTCTACCTCCAGAAAATTATTCAGTGAGTTGTAGATAGTTTTCATTTTTAACTGTAGTTAAGAGTTTTTGATGCTTCAAGAAATGCTATTTGAATAGAGTTGAATTGAAGAAATGTGAGTAAGCATTACACAAAGAGGAATGACATTTGATACAACCAGGATTCTATTAAGGCCTTTTAAAAAACCATACTTTTAACAAGATTTTTGACATGATTTTTTTGTCTTTTTGTTTATAGAGCGACCAGAAACATTTGCCAATGAAAACAGTGGCTGATTGAATGAAACGATTATTGGGAAAGTTGTTGCACTGATTGCTTTTGCATATGTTCATTTGAACGACAAAACTAATTTTGAAATGGCTTCAAAACACTAAAGCAATCGATACTCGCCTGTATACGTACTTGCAATACATTTTATACTTTCTTTTGATACTGTCGTGGTAATTGAAAAATTTTACCTCCAGTGTATTTAAAGTTGATTATAAATTTGGAGATCAGTTGCAATTCAACTTTTCATTCACGATTATCTTTGTATGTGACCAGTGAGTGACCACGAATTTATGAATGGCTATGACTAGTTTTATGGTCCTAACTTCTATTTCCTTCTCCTATTCTCAGAGACTCATTTACGAACGATAAACATTTATTTTAAATGATTTTTCATGGAGATGTTCAGTATGAGCAGAGGCGTAGGAGGCAAGTAAAAGTTGGGGAGACGCTTTTCTTGCAAAAATGGGCACTTGAGTTGTAAAAAGAGCAATATGCTACCCAAAATCCAATGTTTGTTCTTTGCCGTGTTGCGACGTACTTGCATCTTACAAAAGTTGTTGACAAAGCGAAAATTCAAGTGCAAATTTATACAAACCTTGTATTGACCGGATGCAAACCATTCAGACCGGATGTGACATAATGTAGTATCCACCCCAAAATACATAACTATTTATGACTTTCAGACTTCACTCTTTATGAATTCAGATTGACAATGATCAACGACACATGTAGTATGTCATATTGTACTTCAGTGTGTGCATGGTCCTCGTGTACATAAAATACGTTTCTTGTGTACAACTTGCAGTTTTGGAGCTTCTGGATGTTTTACTAATGTATTTATGGATTAAAACATTGTTTATATACAAGTCACGATCTATTAAATTGATTTAGTTAGATTGATCAATTGTATTAACGGCTGGTGCTGTTCTTGAAATTTCCTCATATTATCGCATTGGATTGTTTGTCAATAATGGTGTTTGTTTGCTCAAAATCAAGATGTTATGGAGTAATTTTCTTTCTAATAATCTCCATAATCGTTGGAGTATTCTCGCAAACTCTACCAAACAGTAAGTTTTCTTTGATTCATGCTTCTTATTTTAGACTTCTAGATAAAATAGCAAACGCCGAATATGCCAAAGAAAAATATTCTTTCCATGAATAACGCTATTTGTCGCGGTTTAACACAAGTGTCTGTTTTAAACGTATTTCTTAACATTGCACAACGTTATTTGTGTATTTTTGAAGCTCAGTCTTGGCTATAAAACCGTTCTTAAATTATAAACGTAAACGATATGGGAGGACTCGCTTTTCTTTAATTGCCATTCATTTTAAAACTTTTAGACCATTCGTTCATTCAATTTTAGAACCCTAATGCCTTGATTTGATTTGCCATTGACTATACGCCTCTGAACTACACACTGGAAGACTAAAACATTCAACATTCATCTTGAGTGTCCTCACTGATGTATCATGTCAACACAATGTATCACTTGCAAAACATCCATAGTTTATATGTCATTCTCATTGTCAACTCAATATATTTGAGTTCAGTTTTGAATACTTAGTGACATATCATTGAATGATGTAATTAGGAAATTCAAATTGCTTAATTCTAAGTATGAACTCAAGTTATCCTGTGTGTACTGTTTATCTGTGTTCTTTTTAGCAAGTGATTGTACAAGTTGTTGTGCTATTTTTCCCCCTACTCTTCTCTTTTGAACAGGCTTTGTTGTTAAAGAATGTGTGTCAACCACAATTGCACGCTTCTGTTTATGTTTACAACGTTAATTTTTGAGCCATTGGTACACTGAATCCAGTTAGATGGTATAATGTCATCTAATTTAGCTGAAAAATTCAGCAAAAAAATATTATTTAAAATTTTGACTGTAATTATGAAGTGCTGAGTTGGTACAAACTTCGAAACGGACACAGATACTAGTAAATTTCACTTTGCAGAACATATTTACATTAAAATGCTTAGAAAATACAGTTATTGTATGTAAAACTCAATGCTGTTATTTTTTAATGGCAATTTACTAGTTTTCTAGTTGTAAATTATAGTCATAGGACTATAGCTACGCTTTTCATTCAAAATTTGAAGAAAATAAGCAGCAAATTATCTGTTTGTTGTGCAATTCTATTTAACTCTTTTGTCTTATCCTCTCCTGGTATAATTCAATATGAACGTAATCGTGTTGTTCAACTTCTGTTTGGCCTTCCACACTTAGGAAACAATGCCATTTCAACTCAAAACTTTTAAAATTACTTAAAATTTATTTTAAAGTTGTCAGTTGGTCAAAGTTCCATGGACAACAAATAATAATAATGCCACACCAAGCCACCATGCTGATCAACATCTTGGTGACACACATTCTCTAATGTAATATTGATAGTTACTGCGAAAAGCATACATATCTGCCAAAGATTATGCGCCTAAACTACACAAAAGCGTTTTGAAATGTTTACGTGATCACCCTAATGCTTTATATTTTCTTCATATTTTCTTCATTTGAGTTTTATTTGTTGTTATCTATTTATTTTATGTTTTGAAGTTGTCACAAAAGAAACTGAAACTCAACAAATCTTTAATGGTGTAACCTTGACTGGCAACAGCACTGTGAAATTTTTTCGTAACAATGTGGAAATAATTCCTAGCGACAGAATCAAAGTCAACGGAACATTTCTCATCATGTCCGATTTAAAAGTGTTGGATGGTGGGCGATATTCATGTATTTTTGATCAAAATGGTAAAGAGATGACTATTAAATTGGGTGTTCTTATCATCCGACGAGGTATGTGTATTATTTGAAATGGCTATACCTTTTTTAGTAGTTCTGTCACATTTACTATAGTGTAGATATAATTGAATGTTCGAAAATTCTAAACATATGCACCTTCTCCAAGGCAAACATTATTTTGTCTTAATTCCTCAAAAGTAAAGTAACATTTAACATCACTTTGACACAGACTGTTTGCTTTATAAAGATAAAGTTAAATGTACTATTTTGTGTTCTTTTAAATGAATTAGATAGATATATCTGTTTTATGGTAGAATATCTTGATTTGACATGTTTTTGTCCAATATTTGTGTGAAAATAATGCTATTTTCTTTGAATTATTCTACTATTTAAACAAATTTGGTGTCTCTAAATTATTTTTTGATTCCAATTTCAGCAATTGTTATCTTTTCTTTTTGCAGCAAGAAAATATGAATTTATGATTTATCCAAAAGATGTGACCAGTAGAGTTACTGAAGGTTCAAACTTTGAATTTCGTTGTGAGTATGGAAAAGGATCAACAAAAATTAAATGGTTCAGGCGTTTTAAGACTAAATGTTACAATAGTTGAGGATCATGTTCCTGAAAGTCTTATTACTGTTAGAACAACTACTCAAAAAGTGTTGAAGTGTATCACATTCCAAGTGTCTATAAAACGTGTTTACAGATGTGAAGTTGATGGAAAAATAACAGGATAATTTCATCCAAATACGCATTTTAGAAGTCATAGGTAGGTTCAATTTTGTATCAAGCAAAATCATGCAAATTCTACAATGCCATAAAAATTAAGTCCTTAATATTCATTGGATGATTAGAATTACGTTGGAATTTTGGATTTATTTATATACTGGTAACATTAATCATGAAGTTATAACATTAAATAGAATTGCAGTTTTTCCTTTTGATAAAAATCAGCTCTACTATGTATTGAGCACTATTTTATTCATGATTAACGATAATACTTGAACAGGAAAACGTCGCTATAGTAATCAGCGCCCAAGATCTGCAAAAACTTTTGGTGGAAATAGGTATTTGTACTTTGATTGGATCATCTGAGAGCAAAATTGTCGCTTATGATGACTATGTTTAGGACGAGACTTATGTTGCCAAGAGGCACTTATGAAATATTTTGCACGCAAAATGACAAAGCTAAAGCAATTGGAACACATAATTGTGTTAAAGCATGGCATATGTTGTTAAAGCTAATAATAAAGTTTTGAAAATGGGTCAAAGCGTACGCAAACGCCAGGCAATCAAATCTCGGATAATTTTACGATTCTCCTTTATTACCTTGCATTTCAGTGCAGTGAACTCCATATATATATATATCTGAATGATAACGACAATACATTTTATAGAAAAGAAGCCAAAGTCCTAGTCTCTTGCGCGGTTTTGTACGTCAGTTCCAGTCCGTCAAAGTCGAATATTCACGCGGTTTGTACGCCAGTTTCATTCCCCTGAGTGCCAAACATACAGGCCAATATAAATTTGAATACAAATTGCGAAAGCATAAACATATAAACAACATCACGACAAACAACACACGAGGCCAACTCCTCGCAAAAGTTTATTTTTTACAGCTGAAACTTTACTACAGTGAGTTCGTTGTAACTTACAACTTGTAACGAGGAAAAGCCAAATGAAAATTACTCTGTATGCTAAAAAGACAATACAATAAGGAAATATGACGAGAAAATATTCAAGCATAAACTTTTCTTTCGTCCGAAGGTAAATTTTCAAACGGTGACAGACAGTTTGTCTTTTGTCATTTCAGTGGATTAAAGATCTGTTTTTCCGAAGAAAAAGAAACTTGAATATCCAGTTTCATAAAAACATATTGAGTTATAACTCGCATTTTATTCTTTTACAGAGCGATTGTATTTTTCATCGATTTTTATTGTGCTTGAAATACTACATGGTTGTCATCTCGATATCAATTGAATATCCTTAAAGATTTCTTTGTAAATTTAGAATGTAGATTTGTCTCTGAGAAGCACTGATTGTTGATCGATTTCGACACCTTTAGTGGTAGTCATCTCTTTGATTCATTTGACTCGAAGATGACTACTGCTAAGGTTGTCGAAAAGTCAGTCAACAACAACAAAACAGTCCTTCTCAGGACTATACCAACGGGACGATCTACATTTACAAACATAACGATACTCCCAAGTTCAAACCATTTACCTTAAAGACTTTGATATGTTTTAAAGGAAACCGCAGCGTAAAAGCAGATCGACCAAATTCACCTCACCCTGCTTCGATTTATCACTTTGATTCACTTTCCGTGAACCTTTCTTCCAAAAATTTCTTTTCGTTATTTTTACGCTTGATCAAGATCCGAACTCTACCATTACCAAGGGACAAATGATTAAAATGATTAAAAGGAACACGAGAGACTAGAGCCTGACGTGTGATGACGAATGAGACGACAAATATTTTTGGCTTCAATTTTTGGCTTCGGTTATCATTCCAGTTATTCAAATGTCGAGTTCACTGCTTCAGTGTTACATACTTATTCCTTCAGTGTTGCCATATGAAATTTTAAAATATCAGGTTTGCTTACGTCAAAAGTTCACACAAAATGAGAAAAAGTTCATATACATTTAATTTTAATATCGGAAGTTGACGGGAAACCTGGAATAACTCGGGATCCACACTACGAACTTTGTTCACAATCTGGCAAACTGTATTCTTTCATCAATTATTCAAGTTTGCATTTGTACTCTAATTTATGCATAGTGAAAATTCAAATATTCTGCAATGTGAAAGCTAAAAGTTTGCTTGCATAACAGCCGAATTTTATAAAAGTTTGTAAGTTAGAACAACATCTCGTTTTTGAATAGCAATGACTATTTATCTGTGCCATTGTCGTGCGCAAGCAATTTCTAGTGCTTCGTAAACAAAATTTTCACAACCAAATATGATTATTATATTTTGATATTTTTACTGTCAAATGAACCAGATGAAGTCCAACTACCTATTTCCATCAAACGTTTTTCGTCAACGTGCGTTAATATCTACTTATTTAAAAGATTTTAAAGTTTATGTTAAATTGTCTTGCGTGTTATTTTCATGTAGAATGTGGATGCTTGGATTGTATTTAAAACAAACTTTAACGAAGTAAAATTTGTTTGTTTTGTTTAGAAAGAAGATGCCAAATAAATTCTGTGATAAATTTTTTCACTTTAATGAAGCTGATAAAGCTGAGATAACGCTTTTTGTTGAGGAATATCCATTTCCAAATATCACTTGTTATAAGGATGGCAAAGAAATTATATTTTGTATTGGAAAGAAAATGAAAGATACTCTAAATTTTAATTCATTGGCTGCGAACAGGATCAATATGGCTTAAACGGTGTCCCTCAGTTGATTATTGAATCAATCTCTTTGTGAGAGATGATGGAAACTACATGTGTTGCCACTACCAACAATCCTCCTGGGAGGGACGTTGTTTCATTTGTCAATGTTGGAGGTATACCTAGATTTTTCATTTATGTACTCAACAATGGCCCATTTTATTTAGTGATGAAACGTTTATTGCTCGATTGACAAAGTTTACACCTGACTTTCAAACAGGTTTTTCAAATGAAAATTTCGTTATTTCAAAATATCTGATGCTCATTAATCTTTTTGAATCAAAACGTTAGAAAACAAGGGAATCATATGGTATCGTAAGATTACTAATTTTTGAGTGAGATTTACCATGAAAGAAAGGCGTCTAAAGTATGTCTGACCCACTGCGGTAATGTTGACGTTTTAATTGGTATGCATCGTACATATCTGGATTGTACATGTGCACATATGGATAGTCTGGAAACATATCACCACACAATGAAGTTGATTATAATTAGCATCGCTCAGATTGTATTATACATATACATGTTTACGTTATTGCAGTATTTCATTGAATCCATGTTACATATATCATGCGTTTTATTTCATTGTCACCGAAAACATTAGAAATGCATTTAAGACTCGCAGGAAAAAGACATTTTGCTTTCTTATTGTGCTTCACATTTTACTCGCCAGCACTGTGAGCAGAATAAAAGAACAGCGCTTCACGTTTCGTATTATTTGACCAAACGAATTATCATTCATGTTTGCGAGTTCTTGCAGCTAGTATCTGTATGACATCTTGAGCAATTTAGTAGTAACTATTTTCATTAAAACGGAGGGTCAAGATTATACCCAAAAACGAAGCGATTTTTGTCTTTGTCACAAATTACATTACAGTCCAGACATAAAGATCAATAGGGATCTACTTTTTTGAGTATAGCACAGTGTTATGGCGATTTCAACGTTTTATTTCCTCAAACTTATTCAGTAGATGCTTGTACGCCATCGCATTTTCACATTGTGAAGGCGTATGAACTTTAAAACTCTCTCAAATTTCAAAGAAATTTACAGAGCGTGCTTGATCCGTTTTGGTACTTAAATATTTTATTATTTTCATGCTTAGAAAAATTGCTGGCATTTTGCTTTGCTTAGATTTGTCCTCTCTCATCTTTCAACTTCATAAATAATTTGCACAGCAATCTTTTCAATTTGAATAATAAGTATATTTTGAACAATGTAATGCACTTTGTATAGCTGTTGTAATTGAAATTGAAATAATTTATTTAAAATTTCAATGGTTTTGCAGTGCCACCGTCCATCAGCAGAGGAAATAGTGAATATTTCACAGCACGACACAACACTGAAGGCGAGATTAAATGCATGATAAGATGGTCTAATCCAAGACCAAATATAACTTGGTATCAACAAATCGTTAGCAACAGTAGTGAACCTGTTTCAAATAACTGGATCCCTTCACAGTATAAGTCTTCGTTTAAAAAAGGAAAAAACAAAGGACAATATGACAGCATTTTGAAGATACCGTGGTCTGAGGATAAAGCCTCAATGTTGTTCAGATGTGTTGCTCAAAACATTCATGGAAATGACAGTAGAATTTTTAGGTTTCTGCGATTTGGTAAGATTTTCTTTTTGTTTACATGATAAATGTTTTTTATTTATTATAACATTGGTGAAACGTTTCGTTTTTTTTGCTGTAGGAGATAACTTTGATCCGTTTAAAGTCTTTCCTTCTGGGGAAGTAATGTTAAATGAAAACGAGGACTTTATGGCAATTTGCAGAGTAGATGTTTTGATTCGTAGTAATATTGCGTTTTACAAAGAAAATCCTCGCCGTGAAGTGATAAATAATGAAAGAACAAACATCACCATAAGTAGAAATCCTCAATATCGTAATGTTACAATGAAAATACGAAATATCAACATCAATGATTCTGGAACTTACAGATGTAGTGAAAAAAATGCTCTCACTAATGAATATGCTGCTGTAACGTTGAATGTACGAGGTTGGTTGCTTTGAAATTTTTTATCACCAAAAGCATTAAAAAAAGTTTGTAAAAAAAATTGCGAATTTTCGCTGTTTAACATAAGGAACAAACTTTTATCTTAGCATGAACTATCTAAACGTGTGAAATTTTGATATTATTTTTCTTTGACTTTGAAAGGTTATTCATTA